TATTTAATATTAGGTCTTTACAAACTTAAAAGTACATGAAAGACTGACCATGGAAGGCAGGCGCTTAAATTTTTCTTAAATAGCCTAATTTTTTTTATGTTTTTAATGGGTTCAAACAGACTGAGTTGATTATTTCTCGGTTAGAGCAGGATGAATATTATTCTTTATTGAAGAAAATAATATTGCTTTTTGCAAATACACATCACCGTATCAACGCTACTATTTTGTTACGTTTTGTTCCAAAAATGTTGCATGTCTCTGGGGAGTTGCTTAATTGTTATGTCTTATGGAGTTATATGGTTTGATTGTGTTTCATATAATTCTCAGTTTACTCTGAACTTGCCAAGATTAAGAAAAGGCAAACGAGTTTGAGTGTTCTTAACAAGATTTCAGAACGTTGCAGAAGTTAGAAGAGCTTCACAATTCCATTGTGACAGCATGCCCTAATTCAGAACTACGAACGATCCATGACGATCCTTCGCGATGCAGTGGTCTCATGAAATAAGGAAACGTATTCGTGCTAGGAACACACGCAAATTTCGGACGAATAAATCTTGCTTGTATTTTGTAGATATAATAATACTTTGTTTCATAATAAACAATTTGTCAAGTGTCATTTATTTACTGGTAATAGTGCATGTTTCAGTCGAGCAAATCTTGATTAATATTTGATATGCCATTTTTTACATATTTCAGACACATCCAGAAATATGCTCCCGATTTTAGAGATTAATATCTCCGTGAATTTTTAAGTGAAATACAACTGTAATATATCAAAATCTAAGTTAGTCTTTCCTCTATTTAATGCAAGTTATTTCTCTTTAAAAGCTGTACTTGTTTAGAAGTTATTACGCATCAAACAGGAGTACTTTTTTTTTGGACACCCGGTATATATGAGCGACAGGATTATTTTGGAATATACAATGCAAAGAAGTCGGTATACTATTCACTTTTTATGTAATAATTGGCTATTTGTATAGCAATAAGTATTGTATAATTTGCGACAGCTGACCTTTGAACTGCTGATAAATAAAAGCTTCTTACAGTGCGCTGTACGTGTAGCATCCGAGGGCAATATATCAGTTATAAACCGACTTTTGAGGTTTATAACTAACTTATATCACATTTGTGGAGGTTTTCTAACATATTTTGTCATTTTCAAAAATTTTTAATGAAAAATTCTCACGTTTTGTCTACAAGTTTAATCTAATAATTTATTCAAGGTATATAAGCTAGTTATAAACCTCCTGTTAAAATGTGATATAATTATTAATATCTACCTATCGCTCAATATTTAGGAATATCAGAATGACTTTTGAAGTGTTATCCAGTAATACAAGAACATAAGTACATTTTTTAATATTTCTACAACTGGTGTTCTAAATTTAGTACATATATATGTCAAGAATCAAAAACATAATTTTCGGACAATCTTGGCCAAAAGTTTGTAGAACAACAAAACAAATTCGCAACTTATTAATATACTTGGGTTTTAAAATCATTTTGCACCTCCCGCCGCACCCCCATTCAATGTTGCTCTTCCACATTTCTAATACACATACAATTTTGTTGTACAGTAGGTCATACATAAATATACATGAAACGGCAACATTGAATGGGGAGGAGGCCTTAAAAATGCATCAAAATTTATTGTCGTCCTACGGTTGGTTTATGGCCAAGATTGTAGAAATTAACTGTAAACAACAAAATAGTCCTGAAATAATACTTTACGGAGAAAGGATGCGGGCGGCGGACCAGAAACTAAAGATTAACTTGTAGTGGCCTAATGTCAAATTTAAGAAATGGGAATTGCCAAACAACAGGAAGATGTTGGCTTTCCTGGGCGGTGAACTGTCGAATGCTGCTACTTACTTTTCTACATTTGCAAATGTTAGTACACACAGTATCAGTGGTCTAGATGGCTCTTGTGGTTCATCTGGAAAAGAAAAGTGGGAACCCTGGACGTATGAGGATAGGGTGTCAGTTGCTAAGAAGGTTGAGCAGTTTAAAACTTCCCTGACTAAAAAACAATTGTCTGCTTCCACTTTAAGGTCTAAGGTGACTTCTTTTATAGCCAAAAATAACAGTCGTCAAGAGTTTAAGCCAGTCATTGGCAGGCTTATTGATCAGGCAAATGTTGGCCCACTCCATGTCAAAAACAATGCCTGTGCCCACACTCACCGACTGTTGTTGCATAAAGTCATTGCTATGTCAAGACTTGGAGATGCAACCAAAACCTTTTGCTTGTTCCAACAAACTCGCCATTCAAGAGGTATATCCTCACTCTGTACAACTGTCATTTGACCAGGTTAGCCAACAAGCTAACAAGATGGTTTGATGAGACAAATGCTGGTGGTAAGGAGTGTGACTACCGCTTCACTGGCAAGGACTCTCTGCTATTTCTCTTAAACTTCATGTCTTTAATTTCAGTTGTCGAATCTATTGTTAAGCCTGGTAGGGAAAAAACTTTTTGCATATTCTTGCCTACATTTGCCTTTGCCTGAGAAATGCTGTCTCTTTTCACTCGTCTTAGCATCTTGGATAGCGACATGAGTAATCTTGGTGAACTAATTACCAGAACAGGTGGGAGCAGATTTTTCAGCATACGTTTGTCTCTCTTGTATAGTTAAGAGAAAGAGGTTATAATTTCTCAAGGGAAAGGTCTCAACATTAAAATCTTACATTCCAAATTCTTTTAGCTGTGACAGTAAAGCTTTGTGTCACGGTGGGCTTAAAAAGGAGTGTGTTACTGATAGCAAGTGTAGATTATGTGGTAGCAAGTTAAGGAATGACATTGGGGAAAGTGTTGCTATCCAAGGTTGATCTAAGTTAGTGTTGGAATGTGTTGAGGAAGTGTTGGAACAATAAGTTAGTTAATTGTTTTTGTTTGTGGAAACACCACGTAAATTTATTACTACATTTTTTACGTGGTGTTTCCACAAACAAAAACAATTATATTTTATCGCCATGCAAACATTCAAAGAACTTAATAAGTTAGTTGTTTGACGTAATGGTGGGCTGTTTACAAACCTCTCATTAAATAGTTATTTAAAGGCACAACATGTATGGATATTGGTATTTATTTAAAAAATTACATTGAAGTGAACAGTTAATAATAATGCTGTTTTTTAAACTAACATGCCAGTGTCTTGTGATATAAGTTAAAATGTTGTTTAGTACATTTAAAATTGTATCATAAAAAATGTTTATAACATGTATTTTATCATACATATATTAAATAAAATATTTTTAACTTCAATAAAGGACTTGTGTTTATGTTTTTGAAATTGTTTAATGTGTCACTAAAAATAAATGTGTCACTATCAAGCATAATGCACCAGTCATTTTAACCCCCCCCCCCAACTCGGGCATACCTGGGGCATGGCAGGGATAATCACCTAATTTTCACCATTTTGTCACTTGCTCTCACTGCCTTAGTGACCAGGTTGTGGCGAATGGTGGCGGATTCACATGCTATACTTGGCTTGAAATGGCTTTTAATAAACAGTAGCAAGGTTAGAAAATTATATTTTAAAAGTGTAGTTGAATATCCAGGAGCGGGGGCCAGTTCACCATGCACTTCTGCCCTGGTAGTCGGAAGTTGACTCAGTTTCACACCCGAAAAAGGTGAATACCCCGGGTACGCCCAAGGTGGGGAGGGGGGTTGGGTGTTTCACATGACTGGTGCATAACTGCATGAATATAATTACTAGTTATGCTGCGGAAATGGTTAACTGTTGCTTATTAAACTTGTACACAGATGCTAGGGCCTCTGTGTCATTTACTAAAACTTTAACCTTGTATCCTTTCTTTCTGATAGAGCTCGTCAAATAAAGCTTAACTGTAGTAAAAGCCTTAATAAATTATTTTTTGTCCCATTTTCCCCAATTTTGGTAATTTTTTGATACGCTTTTGGTAAAATTTGGTTATTTTTTTTGTTTTTGGATAGATTAGACTAAATAAAGCTTAAATATAGTGAAAATACAATTTCCCCTGAGGCTAAGGTACTGACCTGAAGGGGAGATGTAGTTCTCCAAGGACTGATAGAAGCAATACTGGTGCAGATCCACCACCAGCAGCGGTCTGGAACCCACAAATTTTTTGACCATAACCATCATAATAACCATCCTCTTGAGTTGACTGCTGAGGTTTGTATGATCTTACATAGCTGGGAGGGGTGGACTTGATAATACACCATGGTATGGGGGTAGCACTCCTATCAATCCTCAAAGGTCCTTGGAGACAGTGGCGTAGCCAGGGTCGAATATTTGGGCAAGCGGTTCGTGGCAAAGCCACGGGGGCATGCTCCCCCGGGAAAATTTTGGTTTCCAGGGCTCGGAAACGCCATTTCCTGCATTCTGATACGAGTTTTTAAAGTAATTGGACGGTCATAAATCACAAAATTTGGTTATATTACTCTAGAACAAGACGCAATACCCTTGACAAAATCTTAATATAATTTAAGATTTTTTTTTAATTACTTTAAGAGACTTTAATTAATTTAATAATTATGTTGATTACCAACTGAAAACTTCATAAAATTTTAGACCTATTGTCATCATTACACATTTGCTATGCTATCTAAATTTAAACTGAATCCATCTAACTTTAAACTAAATCCATTTTTCTTGGAGCCATATCTACAAATTTTTCTACAAGCTCTTCCAGATCAAGCTGTTCCAATATGTCGGCTTCCACAGACATCAGCATAAGACTTTCTAGCCTTTCTTGCTTCATTGTTGACCTTAGTCTGGACTTGATCAGTTTCAACTTCGAAAATGCTCTTTCAGCACTAGTTGAGGTAAGTGGCAGTGTCAAAGTTATTTTCATTAGCTTTATGACGTTTCCGTAGCATTCTGGCTCCGTTTGCAACACCTTGAATAGGTCGTCAAAACTGGCCTTTCTCTTCTCGGACTTCGCTTTTTTATTGACATTGGTGAGCAGCAATGATGTCTGCAAAGAAAAGATTTCGCTCTCTAATGCATCAACATCTAGGTCACTTTGGAACCACTGGACTGCTAAAGATATGTTTTCCCAAGCTTCTGGACTGGCTAAACGAGATGGACCCAAGTATCCAAGTCCCTTTAGAACTGGCGCATTATGTTTGTCGAAACGGCTTTCAATTGAGGAGCTCATAAGATCTAGTATCTACAATATAGAAAATAATTCTAAACATTCTTTAATACACCTACTTTTAGTACTATTTACAAAATAAGTGGCCATTCCGTATCAGTGTATACAGACACGAGTGCTTTGCACGAGTATCTGTGTACACTGATACAGAACGGACACGAATTTTGTAAATTACTTATCAAACGACCTCAAACAGACAATCATGTTTTCAAATTGTTTAAAAAATAAATGTTATAAACTTAGAAAATTGCGAGAAAAGTTTATGCAAATCAGGACGGTTCTTTATCAGTGTATACAGACACTGATTAAACATGTATTTCTTTTCAATTTTCCTCATGAATTATTAATGAGTTTGATAGTATTAAATGCACACCTACTTTTACTTTTTATTTTGTATTAGAGACAGTCTATATTTAGGCGGGCAACCCTATAATTATACATATGCGTAATCCGGTAATCGAGTGACTTACATTATAATAGAAAGAAACTCTAAACTTGTCTTTTGGCGACAGGTGGACGGCGGTTTCGGGATTGTCGTCAATTCTCCGAGGAATCTTACGTACGCGTTCATCTTTTGGTTCTTCAATACTTAGTATGCGGCATTTTTGAAGAGTACTTTCCCAGAAAGCTTCAAACTTTGGTTTGCACCGAAGAGCCCTGATTGAGGCGAGCAGATCTGTGACCCTCTCGCAGCCGGTAACAACGTCCAAGTCTTCAGATTGCAATTTATCGGATACCCCTTTACTTAGAAGCAAGACTTTTTTGAGTACCTTAAAATGAATATACATTTACGATACAAAAGTCCGAGGGTCTGAAGAGTTGAGTTCTGAAAGACTCTCACACTCATAAAATAATCCCATTCCTAATAATAAAGTCCGAGTGATCAAACCTGAAGTCCCAGTTTCTATAATTTCTCATATAATGTACCCAGGGCCATAGCTAGGGGGTTATTTGGGGGGGGGACGAGAAAGTAGATTTGCACTAACTTTGCAACCCGGTGGAAAGGTGCAATTGCCGTAATCGCATCAGATTTGCATGGTTGCAAATATTTTAGCAAATTTAGAAACCAAATTATGGACGAAAATACCCACTAATTCACTTGTGCAAATGAAAGGTAATTTGAACCAAATTTATCCTATACCCTTTTCCTCTCATAAAAAAGAATTGTAGTTACCAATTTGAGGGTGAAAATTTTGCTTACCAATTTGCTTTTCAAATAGCAAATTGATGCGATTACGGCAATTGTACCTTTGCACCGCATTGCAAAGTTGTTGCAAATCTATTTTCTCATCCTGTGGTAAATCAA